CTCACCTGGTATCTATCACACTTTATCAACTGAGAACCCTTAATAGCTAGACTATTATTAATCACAGCTGATAATTATACTGACTGTAATTTTAAGTGTAAAGTGTAATGAAGTTAAGATTACATTTAACATGCTATTAGTATTACTATTAATACTAACATGTAACAAGTTGATCTAATAAATGCTCTGAGTACCTGACAAAGCTCAACACACATATGTTGGCAGTAGTAGTGGAGGTTCATAAATTTATAGTGGTGATGATTTTAGAAAGTAGCGGCTAAAACAGTTGATAATCTGATGGAATGACAAGTGAGAAGTATATGTTAGTACAAAGGCACCAACCCATCCCAACACAACAGTCTCTACCATGTCCTACAGGTTGCAGCAAGTGTATGATTTGCCAGGAGAATACTCCAAGCGATGTACTATGGTATTCTGCTTAGCATGTACAGAATAATGGGGTGTGGTTATTAAAGGTCAGTCCAGAACCTTATTAATTTTTGTCACTTAAGTTGTTTGCCTGTCAGTATAGCAAAATTAAACCCATACAGATAAGTGTTAGAGTACTTTAGTTGTGTGGGCTGATTTATAGTAAATCCAGACTCCGTAGAGCAAAGAAGCAAAAATATACAGTGGAGGGAGGATGTTGCTAACATGAAGGAGTGTAAAAAATACACCCATGGAAGTGACCTGTCACCAAGTAAATCAGCAAGTGAAACAGAATGTTTCTTCTGAGACAAAATTTATTCAATTCCCTTCCCTTTTTACATGGATAAACACGTTTGCCAGTCTGCTCTCCATTTACAAGACACTAATTTACTGTCCAAGCTTGATGCTGGAGATCTTGTAGCTAGTGTATGATCACATAAGTGGTCAGGGGAATGTGTATGAAGCATCAGTTCATCAGTAAAAGAAGAAGGCTTGAGGAATTCTTCTCAATACAAGAAGCACTACTGCAACACACAGAGAGATGCTGCCTATTCAGCCAGTTACATCTAGGTTCAGTCACTCATCTATGCTCCCAAGGAAGCATCTCCCAGTGAGTAGAGATGGAAAAGTAACAACCAAGGTGGTGGGCAGCCACCGTGATCTCTATCACCAGAAAAAGCAAAACCTTTCAGGAGCTACTGAAGTGTTGCTGTAAGAAGGACATTAGCAGAACTGTAAATGCAGCTAGGCTGACCTGAAATGCAAGGTATTCTGTAATTGCTGTGTCAAGTGCTCCCAAAAGTGACTTCATATGCAAATGTCACGCATTACAACTATTCAATTAATGCACAATATGCATTGATACCATACTGAATCATTTGTCAAGTGCCTAATAACATTGATATTGTATCTTAAGTTTATCAGAAAATTCAACTGTCATCATATTTTGCAGTAACCACACTGAATGTGATGATTTCACACAGAGTCCATTGATGGTGATTAAAGGATCCATGTGACTTAAAATGCAGCTCTAATAACTAAAACTTTATATTAACTTGTTAGTTAGCTATATTCAAAATCAGTTAAACTTGGTGGTCATTTGGAAATATGAAATGGCTGATACATTATAAGTGTCCTTATCAAAATCCCTGGCCACAAAAATGTGGGTATAGTTACATAACTCAATGTTCCATGTACCTTAGAAATGAGGTTTTGGATATATTAGTTGCTGATGATGGCCAGTTTGAAATCCAAGATGGTGGCCATAATATGTTTATTTTGGCTTGGCTGTCTCATTGAAATTGTTTAATACATATTTATCTAGTATCCTGCCAACTTTCATGTTTATATCAGAAAGTGCACAGTTGTTTTACATATCTGCCCCACTAATATCATATTATGGAAATTACTAACTTATAGATCAAACTTTGCCAACATAGGTAATATATATGTACCATATGAAGTTACCTCATGTCAGTGTTTTCCAAACTGTGGGATATGCCCCCTGGGAGGGGCATTTTGGTGGGACAGGCCAGTTAATATTTCACTACATTCAAATTATATTTCCTATAGATACTTACTTCTATAATAATAGCTTCCCTCGTTCATTACTGCCCTCTATATGCATAATTTTTCCCTCACCACTAGCCTTGAAACTACCACCTACCCTACGTTTCTACTTCGTTCAACTGCATTGTTACACGCATATAAGCATGTGACAACCCTCCATCAATAACAACACAATACACAACAAGGAAGGAGCACTTCTATTTTGGGAAACCAAGCTATTATGTGTGCATAACTAACACAATCAAGACCCGTCTCCCTAGGAACCAACATCTGAATGATGGTAGGAAGGTGTAATGCAATGTGGAGAGTCAACTCCAGTCCAAAACCATGGTGTATTGAGAATGTATCGTCCAGTTTGCAGTAAGAAGGGGTCCCAGCCCACTCACATGAGAGGACTTATGTTGGCTAGTTTAGCTCCAACCATCATCAGCTGCCCAGGTACCAACATCCAGGCAGTGGTAGAAAGGAGGGTTCTCAGCAGAAAGAGTGAACTGCATGTGATGGAAAAATCCAATCCAAAACCATATGGCACCTGGAATTGTATATCAGGTCTGCAGCAGGAGGATAGTCACACCAACCATCTACACTGAACACCACTACCATACTCTCAACTGAGTGGGATTAAGCACACTCAGAAGGAAGCCTCCAGCATCCCAGTTGCTAGGATCTGGTAAGTGGTAAGGAGTTCACTACTCCACTGCAAGAAAGGGGAAAATAGTACATGAGAGTCCAGAGGAACACAGCACCAGAGAAAGTGCAATGGGTGACTGCAAAAACCTATTTTTAAAAGTAGATCATTCCTCGGTTATTCAACTGAAGAAGTGGCAGGGTGGGCAGCAATCCCCTTATACTTTACTCATGCAAGTCCATGAGTGTATGATCCGGGACAGACATATTTATGATGCAAAATATCACAAGGAAGAACCCACTAGTGGTCTTGCAGAACATCCTATCTCAATGGTTGGCTTTATTGACCTTATTCGCCATACAGTGCATCACTTGCCACAGAGTGGGATCCACTACAGAATAGGAGAATGACCCTGTAAGAAAAAAAGAAAGAAATTAATAAATGTTCCAACTCACAGTTGAACTAATGCACGTAGTACAGCTACAGGTGTAATGCAATATTCAGATGAGGACGAAACAGCCACCCAATGGGGTATATGGGAAATCAATGTGATGGGAGTGGTCCACTTGCCAGCCTGGATGATTTCCCTCAAATGACTACAGAGATTGGCAGCCAGGTAAAGGCAAGATGTCTAATCTGATGTAAATATATAAATAAAAAAAATTAACATAAAGTTTCAACTTGATTGGGTTTTGAACTTTAGACTTCAATATTATAGTCGAGTGCTATAACCACTGTTGTATTATTTCCTAATCTTGTAATATCTTGCTTTAAACACGATGAGTAAAAAAATCCCAACTCACTCCAGACTAACCACTGAGCAAATTAAATTATACCAACAAAGGGAGCCTTATGAACAGAGTGGCCTTTATATATAGAGAAATATAGCACACTTCTTTGTTATTGTTTTAACTAACAGGGATACTTTCCAAAAGTGAAGAAAGTATGAATCAGCAATAAATTTCTTCTCTTGAATAATTGTTTATCACTTGTAATAGTGCTCTAAGTGACTAATAATATTTTCTATTATAGATAAAATCACATTACTGAAAATAAGTTTGCATTAAAGCTCACAAAACATATCAATGAAAATTTCTTACAAAACTAAATGACTGCTATAATCATAAGACAATAAGAAATTCCAAGTGTGGTATAGAATGGAAACTAAGTTTTTCATCTAACTTTGTTGTTACTGCAAGCTTCTCATATAACAGAAAATTTAAACTATGCAAGTTTCACAGTAAAGCAAGTGGAACTCTTGTTACTGTTATAACATATTGTCATCAGTTATGTAAGAGCAAACTCCTGCAATGTGTGGTCAGAACAAGGAAGAGTTATGGCTGCTCATGGCTAAAACATTAAATTGTATATCTAACTCCACAGTAGTGTTTCTACAAAAGTGTTCTCATTATACCTTTCTCTGATGTTCCTGTAAAGTTGTGTGGTCTACATTTGCCCTTGTTCCTTCACACACGCTTATTACAATGGATACTTTAGTTTTAGACAAAAATGAGTAATCCTGACTCTCCTGAGTGATCATGATTCATGATAGAAGAAGCAGTTCAATGACTAGCATAGAACATCTTTCTTATGAAGTGCAATTAATCTTTCATATAAACTACATATATGACTAAAATTTTGTTTCAATAAAAAATAACTGATGTATTTTTTAAAATATCACCACATGGTCTAAAAAAGCATCATTATAAATAAGTAATCTAAATTACCTTTTTTCACTTACAGGTAGTCAAGCAAACCTTCAGTAAAAGACTGAATATGTTCAAATTACTTTTTGTTACTATAGGTTAGGTTTTTAAAGCAATTTAAATACTCAAACAAACCAGTGGTCAAAAAATTAAGATGACATAATACAAATGGGCAAATCCTTAAAAAAGTGGCATTTACGACTTAAAGAAATGTTCTTTCTCAGATGACCAACCGATATACTTTAAGTGCTTATAGTTTCAACACTGACTGGTCATCAACTAATGAAAATAATATTGCCATATATTGATAATTTGATATTTTTTGCAAAATTAAATAATAGAGGTAAGATAAAAGAATCTATGAAATAAGTGAAACAATATTTTCTACCATGACTTTATTATACTATAAACAGGCATGGTTAAATGTGTTTTGAACATTTAATTTACAGAGCATTTAACAATGCTTTATTAAAAAAAAAATATTAAGTTCATATTTTCATACAAACCTTTCAAAGCTAAGTTTGAAATTATTGAATTATATGAAACATTTTAGACCACCAGCTTTTAACCAGAAGATGAGTGCACTACCACTACATCTTCAACTGTGAAAATGTAATGAAATGAACATAACATGAACTTTGCTTTAAAGAAAAGGTAACATTCGTAAATTACAGGATAAGTTTCATCTTTAATTGTTGCTTTGGTAGTAAAGAATACATTGCTCAGAAGAAATGTTTTTCATCAAAATCTGTTAGATGTTTCACTCCCACTGTTGTTAAACTTTGGCAGGACAGGCAAGATCAGGTTTCCAAATTATGATTCATAGTGTCACTGTTGTTTATCAAACCTTGGCAAGACAGGCAATATCAGGTTTCCAAATGATGATTCTTGAGTTATAAACCAACCTACAGAGTTGGCATGAGCATGCTAGAAAAGTAATGATGAACAGGAGCTCCAAAATCACACAACCTATATTATTTTATGCTATCAAAATGAGCTTTATAGAAATAAAAACTGTCAAAAAATACCCTAAGATATAGTTGTGTGTCATATAAAATATTTATACTCTGTTTCAAATTCGTAAGATGTAAAAATTTATGATAAATCAAATCAAATTGGGTTTGGATTTCAATGTTTACTATTACATAGCAAGCTTTCAACTTCTGTCTTACCCTTTGGCAAAAATGTAGCTAAAGATGACTCTAAAAGAGGACCTAAATTACTTTTTTTAAATTATTATCTTCAAAACAGAGAAATCAAAATTATATGATGTCATATGCAACACAGATATTTTACAATAAAATCCTGACAGATACCTTTTATATGTGAAAATTTATCAAACATAGTATAAAAAATACATGATTTTTTGTTCAGAGACAAGAGTTATAACATTAATGATTTTTACACAAGTATAAAGCCAGTACTCTGTATTGAATAGTGAAGTGAGTTCTGTAGAGCACATATAATACCAGTTTAGAAGTGAAATCTTCTTTACAGAAATGAAAGGAATGTTAGAACCACACAGCTGCATGAAAACATTGGTTTTCATTACTTACCTGAAGTGCTGTCCTCTGAGATGTAGATAAAGCATGTGCATCAACTGAGGACTGGGTAGTCTGAAAAATTCAAGCTTTTCGTAAAGTGATGCACTGCAGAACTCAATTCACACACAATATAAAGAAACTATTAGGAGAAAAATTGTGCTCTAGCTAGCTCAACACTATAAAAATTAGTCTATATTTAAAGAATAATTTTTACAAAAATTTTATTCTGAATGAAAATAATAGTTGCTAATGTAATTATGTTTTGTACTACAACAATTGTTATGGTGTGAACACCTTTGTCAAGCTGGCAAAACAGGATTGTAATTGAAAAGTTTTTTTTGATGTACAAAACTTGAAGATAGCTTTTATATGCAGAAACATCTGTTAGCTGAGTTCTTGCACAGATCTTAAAATATAACGTTGATAAATGGAAACATTGGCACATGTAGATATGTAGATCTTGAAAGTCAAGTTGTTCAAAAATAAAAATAGCATTGATAACTGGACCAATTGTTGGTTGAGATGTTGTAAAAGAAATATCTGCCGATGTTTCCATTTATCAACGTTATATTTTAAGATCTGTGCAAGAACTCAGCTAACAGATGTTTCTGCATATAAAAGCTATCTTAAAGATTATAATCAATTTACTTGCCATTAGACCTTAGTATTGGGTAGTGAGCCAATTATATTTTTTAACATTGTAATCTCCATATAGACCCTTAGAGATTTTCAAAATTAAAAGAGTGCATAATAATGGTATTTCAACTGAACCAATGTGCACCACATCCATTCCCAATAATGATCTCACTCAATCCAGAGATCATCACACCAGCTGTGACACAACACAGTATTGGTTGAAACACTATTTATATTAACAATATGTTGAAACATTTGTTATAATGTGAAAACCAGCCAGCTTCAAAATGCATTCACACCATAATGATTGTTGTTGTAACAAGTGGGTTGTATAAATTGTGTTCCAACCAATAATGTGTTGTGTCCCAGGTGATGCGATGAGCTCTGGACTAAGCAAAATGCACTGTCAGTAATGGATATGGTTTTATTATGCATTCTTCTAAGCCTTCAAAATCTCTAACTTCTATGGGACTAGATATAGATTACAGTGTTAAAAAATATAATAGGCCCAATACTAAGATCTAATGGCAAGTAAATTAATTATAATCATGCTTCAACAGCTTGAAAAAGGCATCCATGCCATAATAACTGTTGTTATAACAAATGGCTTATCAACTGTGTTTTAACCACTGTTGTATTTGTTGTGTTTTAACCAACCTGATGAGCTCTGGATTGAGAAAAACACACCATCAATAACAGATATAGCACACATAGTGTGATTGCAATACTATTATCATACACTCTTCTGATTCTTGAAAATCTCTAAGAGACTAAACATAAATTCCAGTTTTAAAAAATATACCAGGCCTGATACTAATTTCTAATGTCAATTAAATTAATTATGCTTTGTAGTGCTCATCTTGAAGATATAAGCCTAGGAAGTGAAATACTGTTTTCCATATGTATGTTCAAGGTTTTTTACGTGAAGTTCACAAATACTGTGTATTTCTAAACACAAATAATATGTGGACTCATTCATGCATGTTTTCATGACTGTGAAATATTGCCTTGCTAAGGTATGTTTTATACCTGTATATTAGCTTATGCAGATGCCAATGAAAGTTATTACTATAGTGTCAGAGGCATAACAATTACTGGATAATATTACACAGTACACGGTAAATTTACTTACAGTAGCAATGCCAATTGCTGGGGTTAAGGATCCAGGCCTGTAAAACAAAATTTACTCAGACACAAACAAAACAATAAGAAATGAAAGATAAAAAACATGCTCTTCTTACTCTCTAAAATTATAATACAATGCAATGGAAGTACCCAATTATTCAAACTTTTTAATAGCTAATAAGAACTTCAGAAGAAAAGTAATGTCTATAACAATACATCAACCACACCATATCTGTTATATCCACTGCTGATGAGGACCTTCTGTCTAATACCTTAGTTATTTAGGATGGCTGGAATATGATATAGTAGTGGTTGAGACAATGTTTATATTAACAAATTGGTTGACAAAAACAGTGACAGTGTTAATGGGATTAAGATTGTGAAATGTAATTTCATTTATGTCTGTCATTTATGTAAGGAGTTTTTTAATACTATATTATGTACTTATGTTAAGACTAAATATTATTTTATTTAAATATTGAAAATATATGGATATATTTAACATTCTTAATTAAGGTAACGTTGAATAAAAGAATAGAATATACCTTATGTGAACCTGAGAACAAGAATAATTTTCAATGTGAGAATAATTCAATAAAATTATTCTTCCATGCACCTCCACAATGTATATCTATTGACTGTACATTTTCAAACCAATTCATAAGTTTTTTTCTCAGGTGAGGAGAAGATTATATTTGAAAGCTTAAATAAATATTTGATGAGTTAGCTTAGCTAGTAGTATAATTTTATTTTATTGTGTAGGAATAGTTGGAAAATAGAAGTCCTTTTACATGCCTTACTGTAATATAATCTGATGTGAAATCTTTAAAAGAAAGTTGTATTTACATAACTGATTAACTGCAATTTTTCTGACACTTAAGAAAAGCTATACAATAATTGGTGGCACTAGACTTAATGCAGCTTCAATCTGATAGTTAATTTGAAAACAAAAAACACAATGCCCAACAAAACACTACTTTTTTATGTTTTTTCTTTAACTTGAAAAAACTAACATGACTTGATTTCAAAGTCTGACTTACAGTGTACTTGGCTGAACCTGTTTCAGTAAAAGCTGTTTTTTCTGCATTTGAAGTTCCTCCAAAATCTTCCTGTTTTGTTGTTCTAGATCAAATAAGAACTTTTAGCACAATATATGTACCATAGTTTTATTATATTCTTAATCTACTTTCATATGTTGTACAATCCATAACTAGTCCATTAACAATTTCAAAACACATTATGTATTAAAATATTTCAAGTTATATTAACCACAAATTTAAATGTTTTCATCTAGTGCAATATTTTAAGAAAACAAAAATATTTCAGAGATCAGGGGTGGATATAGTTTTTCAGTGCAAAACTACATACTCTCTGTCCACTGTAGAGAATCCAACCCCATATTTTAGTGTTATAAGTCTGAAACATACCATTGACTCATTGGGGGACTGGATGTAGGCGAAGAGTTTCTTTGTGTAATTTATAGTAATTTGAGAGTAGAAAATGAGATAAACTAGATGAAACAAATGCCCATTTTGATCACCTTTGTTTGTTGTTAAATGCAAAGCTATATAATGGGCTATCTGTGCTATGCCTACCTCATGTAATGAAACCCTTTTGTTTAGCATTAAAAGCTCTCAGACGCATTGCTGAGCCACTGGGAGGGTTATCACCTTGGAAATAAAATGGGAATAAATGAATATTAGTTTAAAATAATCATCATAAGTGTTAGCTAAATGATTAAGAGAATTTTTGTAAAAGTATTGTTTTTATTTCAAATTCGATGACGAGGAACCCACTTTGAGACTAATAATGGCTTGAATGGGTAATGAAGAAAAACTTTAATATAAGTTTAACATAACAGCAAATGTACAACGTTTCGACAAGGTTTTGTCATCATCAGGTACAAGTAATCT